ACAATTAAGGAAAATCTACATTAATATTTAAAGCTAAATTTAGACTATATATATTTAGAACAACTATTAAAGCTAAACTATGATTATATTTTGAGCTTTATTTAAAGCAACAATTTAAGCTAAACAAGGACAATATTTTATGCTATATTTTAGGAACAATTAAAGCTAATCCAGAACTAGATTTCAAGCAAAACTTTAGAGCTTTAATTAAAGCTTAACTAATACAATATATTGAAACAAAACTTTAGAGCTACAATTACTAGATCTATATTTAGACCTAAAATTAAAGCTATGCTATGTTGAATAACAATTACAAATAATCTATAATTATAGTTTAAGCTAAATTAGGGCTCTATTTAGGGCAACGCTTAAACCTAAACTTGGATAATATTATGAGCTAAAAGTATGCGATATTGCAGAAATTAAAGCTTAATTTCGACTATTAAAGCGCGACAATTAATGATAATTTAGAACTTTATTTTAAGCTAAACTTATGGTAAATATGTTGAAGCAATTAAAACTAAACTATTACTCTATTTTAAGCTAAACTTATGCTGTATTTATATCAACAATCAAAGCAAAACTAGGACTGTACAGAGCAACAATTAAAGATAATCTAGGACTAATTTTATAAGCCAAACTTGGTCTTTATTTAGAGCAGAAATTAAAGCTAAATTTAGACTATATTAAGAGCGGCAATTAAAGACAATCTAGGACTATATTTAAAGAGAATCTTAGACTACGTTAAAAGCAGCAATTAAAGCTAAACAAGTACTATATTCTGAGTTAAATTTATCTTAAATTTAGAGCTGATATTAAGGCTAAATTTGGGCTTTATAAGGAGCGGCAATTAAAGATAATCAAGGACTAATTTTTAAGCTAAACTTTGGCTTTATTTATAGCGACAATTATAGCTAAACTAGGACTATATTTACTATATACTTGTGCTATATTTAGATCAATAATTAAAGCTAAACAAGGACTATATTTTGAGCTACAATTAAAATTAATCTAGGATTAAGTTTTAAGCTAAACTTGGGCTATAGTTAAAGCAGATATTAAAGCTGATCTATGACTATATTATGAGCAAACATATACTTTATTTAGAGTAGAAATTAAATCTAAATTTAAGCTATATAATGAGCGATAATTAAAGATAATTTAGGACTATATTTTAACCTAAACATAGGCTATATTAAGAGCAGCAATTAAAGCTAAACTATTACTATATTTTGAGCTAAACTTATGCTATCTATATTTAGATCAATAATTAAAGTAAAACTAAGACTATATTTTGAGCTACAATTAGGTATAATCTACAACTAATTTTTAAACTATACTTGGATTTTATTAGGGGCAACGATTAAAGCTAAACTAGGACAATAAATTAGGCTAAACCTATGCTATATTTAGTGCAGAAGACTTGGACTAGACTTGGACTTGGAAGCTGATCTTTGACTATATTATGAACAAACATATATTATATTTAGAGTAGAAATTAAATCTAAATTTAAGCTATATAATGAGCGATAATAAAAGGTAATTTAGGACTATATTTTAACCTAAACATAGGCTATATTAAGAGCAGCAATTAAAGCTAGACTATTACTATATTTTGAGCTAAACTTATGCTATATTTAGATCAATAATTAAAGCAAAACTAAGACTATATTTTGAGCTACAATTAGAGATAATCTACAACTAATTTTTAAAATATACTTGGATTTTATTAGGGGCCACGATTAAAGCGAAACTAGGACAATAAATTAGGCTAAACCTATGCTATATTTAGTGCAGAAATTAAAGCTAGACTTGGACTATATTAAGAGCCACATTCAAAGTTAATTTGGGTTATATTTTTTAAACTTATCTTAGAGTATATTAAGTTTTGAGCAAACATATACTTTATTTAGAGTAACATATACTTTATTTAAATCTAAATTTAAGCTATATCATGAGCGATAATTAAAGATAATTTAGACTATATTTTAACCTTAACATAGGCTATATTAAGAGCAGCAATTAAAGCTAAACTATTACTATATTTTGAGCTAAACTTATGCTATATTTAGATCAATAATTAAAGCAAAACCAAGACTATATTTTGAGCTACAATTAGAGATAATCTACAACTAATTTTTAAAATATACTTGGATTTTATTAGGGGCAACGATTAAAGCTAAACTAGGACAATAAATTAGACTAAACCTATGCTATATTTAGTGCAGAAGACTTGGACTAGACTTGGACTTGGAAGCTGATCTTTGACTATATTATGAGCAAACATATATTATATTTAGAGTAGAAATTAAATCTAAATTTAAGCTATATAATGAGCGATAATTAAAGATAATTTAGGGACTATATTTTAACCTAAACATAGGCTATATTAAGAGCAGCAATTAAAGCTAAACAATTACTATATTTTGAGCTAAACTTATGCTATATTTAGATCAATAATTAAAGCAAAACTAAGACTATATTTGGAGCTACAATTAGAGATAATCTACAACTCATTTTTAAACTATACTTGGACTTTATTAGGGGCAACTATTAAAGCTAAACTAGGACAATAAATTAGACTAAACCTATGCTATATTTAGAGCAGCAATTAAAGCTAGACTTGGACTATATTAAAAAAAGCAATTCAAATTGTGCCAAACTTATGTTATACATACATACATATTTAGAGCTAAAATTAAAGGAAAACTAAACTATATTTAGAGCTAAAATTTAAAATAATCTTGGACTAATTTTTAAGCTAAACTAGGATTAAAATTTAAACTAGACTTGGACTATATTAAGAGCCACATTTAAGATTTTCAATTATAAAATATAGATTATATTTAGAGCTAAAATTGAAGCAAAACTAAGACTGTATTTAGAGCTACAATTAATGATAATCTAGGTCTAATTTTAAGCAACATTTAGATCTAAACTAGGACTATATTTGAACTAAACGTAAGCTAGATATAGAGCAGAAATTAAAGCTAGACTTAGACTATATTAATAGCGGCCATTAAAGATAATCTAGGACTAATCTTTAATTAAACTTTAGACTATATTAAGAGCCTCAATTAAAGAAAACTTTGAGTATATTCTGAGCTCAGGTTAGATTATATTTAGAGCTAAAATTAAAGCTCAACTAAGATTATATTATACAATTAAAGATTATCTAGGTCTAATTTTTAAGCTAAACTTTAGCTCTTTTTCGACCAACAATTAAATCAAAACCAGAACTATATTTTAAGCAAAACGTATGCTAAATTTAGAGCAGATTAAAGCTAGACCTGGAATATGTTAGGAAAGGCAATTATCGATAATCTAGTAGTATATTTAAGTTAATTTTAGACATATTATTGAGAGCAATAATTAAAGCGAAATAAGGACTATATTTTTAGCTAAATTTATGTTAAATTTAGAGCAAAAATTTAAGTTAAACATAAACTATATTTCTAGCTACAATTAATGTTAATTATTGACAATATTTTCAGTAAAACTTAAACTATACTAGTCCCATTTTTTCCAAATTATGTACTTTTTTGTATTCTATATTTTTATATTACTACATTTTTCAAAACCTTTTTCACTTAAACTTACTTATATTAATAAATTTTGTTTTCTTTTTATTTAATTTCAGTTTTAAATTAATTTTTTTAGCCCGTTACTCGATTTCATTTAAATTTTCCGAAACTTTTAACTTTTCCGCCATTTTACACGAGCGATTTGTACTGCGCAATTAAAATTAATAATTATTTCGGTTTTTTTCTTTATTCGTCATTCGTGTGGAAAGCCAGGCTTGCATTTTTTGCTTTTAAACATACAGAGTTGCATTTGTAAGGCATTTGTATGGAGGGGAGCTTTTCATTGAAAAGGGATGAAGGTGTATTAAACTTTAGGTAGGACTATAAGATAATCAAGGACTATATTTAAAGCTAAATTAAGACTACATTTAGAGCTGTAATTAAAATAATCTATGACTATATCAATAACTTCAATTATAGATAATCTAGGGATATATTTTAAGTCAAACTTAGAGTTAATTTAGAGCTACAATTAAAATCAATCTAGGGCAATTATTTAGATCAACAGTTGAAGCTTAACTAGACCTAAATTAATATCTACAATTAAAGCTAAACTTAACTAAAATTAGATTATATTTAAAGCAACTGTTAAAGCGATGATGGTTTTATATATTTAGCAAAATTTAGGCTACATATAGTGCTAAATAAGGACTCCATTTTATGCTCAACTTAGAGCAATAATTAAAGTTAAACTAGAACTATATTAGAGCTAAACTGATTATATATTCACAGTAATAATATGATATATACTAGGACTAAATATAGTACTACCAAGCTCCAATATTGGATATTTTGAGCTACAACTACAAGCGAATCTTAGATATTTTGAGCTAAATATAGTCTATATTTAGAGCAGCTATTAAAATTAAACTAGTACTATATTTTAAGCTAAACTTGGACTATGCTTAGAGCTTAATTATCAGTCCAGACTTTTTTTTTCTAAATTTTGTGAGTTTATTCTAATTTTTACATTTAATCATTATTTTTCCATAAATTATTTCACTTAAACTTACTTATGTCGATAATCTTGTTTTCTTTATATTTAATTTAACTTTTTTAGTCCGTTAAACGATTTTATTTAACTTTTTCCGAAACTTTTAATATCTTCCGCCATTTTACACGACCGATTTGTATTGCGCAATTAAAATTATTAATGGTTTCGCTTTTTCCCTTTATACGTCATTCATGTGGAAAGCCAGGCTTGAGTTTTTTGTTATTTAAACATACAGAGTTGCATCTGAAAGGTATTGTTAAGAAGATAAGCTTTTTATTGAAAAGGTATAATAAATATAACGTATATGTTAATAATAACTTACAACCAAGACTATATTTTCAGCTAAACTGGAACTGTATTACAATTAGATATAAGTCCAACTATAAGTATAAAATTTACTGTATTTTAAATCCTGTTTTTACCTAAATATTTTAATATCAAAAATATTAGTTTTTTGTCAAAACTAAATTAAAAATATTTTAGGTAAAAACCCACTAAATTTTTTAAATATAATATTACTAAAAAAAAATCATCTAAAAAAATGGCCAAAAAGGCAACAGCTCCCAAATTACAAGAAGATATACAAACCGATGAGGAACTAAATGCATTTTTAGGTAGACCGGGATTAAGTGGTAAAAATTGATAATATTCCAAATCAAAATTTAAAAAATAATTGAAAAAATTTTTATAAACAAAGTTTTAGATATCTATTCTGAGTGGTGTGGTCCCTGTTTGGGTATGGTGGGAAGTTTAAGAAAGCTTAAATTAGATCTAGGGGGAGATAATTTAAGTTATGCCATAGTAAGTCTAGAAAAGGTAAAAATATTAAACTTTTATTTCAAAATTAAGAATTTTTTAGTGTAAAGCTGATACCATAGAGGTGTTCAAAAGATTCCGACGTAAAAGTGAACCCACCTGGTTGTTTGTGACGGTAGCTTCAAAAATATCTTAAATTCTTACATTATTTCATATTATCTTTGATTTTAGAACCACAAAGCTGTAAATATCATGTTTGGTAGCCGATGTACCCAAACTATTTTCTCTAATCTATTCTGAACTTCGTTTAGTTTCTTTAAAAACCCGAAATTTTTATGAATTAAACGAATGTCAAGCCTATCGAGTTACAACGTCTTAAAATCAAAGAAGAAGCCATAAATAAGGCCTTAGCTTTGGAATTTGAGAAAAAAGAAACCAAACGTTTGAATTATCTCTACGGGGTCACTAATACCATAATGGAAAATTTAATCGATATGGGTGTTACCATCTTTGGGCCCCAAGTGAATCGTGATTTATTAAAAATCATCTTGCAAAGAGGCGAACAATTGAAAATACAATGCAAAGAACGCAAAACGGTTGGTTCTATCCAAAGAACACTTCCAAACTATACACTTTGATTGTCCCAATCCCATAAGAGATGAAGTTTTGGAACAATTAGAGGGTAAAGAATTGTTTATTTGCTATTGGAAGGTAATGGGAGATGGTGAAGATGTCGCCAAAATCTTAAAACAATTTGCGGAAGATTTACAAATGTCTCACACTGAGCCAATGTCTGATGAAACGGAAGAGTCGGTACTAATGCCAGCTATATTGCAACCATTGGAGATTAAAATTGAAGAAGAAATTGAAGGTAATATTTAGAGATATATACCAATATATTTTCATATTGTTCTATAACTTCTCCTTAGATTCTCAAATTTCCTTAGCTCAATCCCTAGACAAACTTCTTACACCCCCAAGATCTTTAAAATCCCAGGATGTGGTAACATCTTGGAAAGATTATGAAGAAGACAGCAGCGAAGAGGAAGTTTATTATCCTGCATTAGATTTTGATTTTGCTTACAGACTTTAAAGGCCTCGACGAACAGCTATCAGATAAAGTTGATTTGTTCCCTGCGGTAGTGAAAAAGAAAACCAAGGACCAGAAAAATTAGCATATCACCCATTTGGACACCAAATAATCAACGCACCCATGCCGCTTTAATATACATGTATTTCCGTAATCAAACGGTAACCTTCTTACCGCCTGATCCAAAACCGGAACCACCTTATGTTATAATGGCTTTTGATGTCTATAAGAAGAGAGATTTGATTCTACATGCCGAACGTTATAGGAATGAGGTGCCTATGTATGGTTTCTTTACCAGTGATGATGCAGATGAGGCTAAATTTATAACCAATTCTTTGGAGAAGTATAAAGTGCAGACAACGTAAGTAATGATGAACTAGAACTGAACTAAATCAAAACTAAAAAGAACTAGAACTATATTACAATAGCCATCGATTATTCCAATAGCATTTTAATTAATTCCTTTATTCTCTCCCTTACAGCAATGACAAGATCAGTCTTAAAAGTTAAAAAGGCCACATCTCACACCATGCTGCAATTGGTTACTTATGGACCCAGCTACGTTAGTCCTAATCTCGTGGTAGCACAAGATGAAGTCTTAAAATTCTTTCCCTCCCACCTATAAAACTGCCGAACAAGAGTTAGAAGAAGAACGTGCTAATTGCCAAAGGATACGGATGAAAAACAAGCAAAGAGACTGAAAAAACAAAAATCACCGAAAACTAAGAGACAATGGAAATGCAAAGAAATTCTGATAAACTTTCAGAAACTCGAGACCCTAGACCAGTTGAGAGAGCTTTAAGCTTGAATACTTCAGAAGTACCTAATGGACCAATCGTACTTGAAGAAAGTCCTGCTGTGGCTGCTTAAACTTTTGATACTGTTTTACTAAATTTAAAATTAAGGCTTATACGAATTAACTGTTCGTTTGTGAACTATTTAGATTATCTTAATAGTTCACAAAGTTAATTAGTAAAGACTTAAGTTTATAATTTAATGGAATATACATAATATCACATTTAAAAAAGTCATACATGGGAGTAGTTAATTATATCGACTAATTAATTGACGATTTCATTAGCATTAAATTAAAAAAAAATTATAATTATTTTTTTTTCATTAGCATTATTTTGCCTAATGGTAATGGTTTTTAATGAAACGATTTCATTAGTAATTATTTAAAAATAAATTTTCATTACCATATTAATGGATTTTAAAAATTTCGAACATTAGTTCGAATTTCGAAATTAATTTCGAATATCCGAAACATTATAATGTTTGTCATTAGGTGAAATCATGTATGCCAAATTCAGCACATTCGGACTAGAAGAACTAGTTTTAACAGCTTTAAAAATTTTTTCGAACACGAGTTCGAATTTTCGAAATTATTTTTTTTGGTTTTATGACACAGAGATTAATTTAAAAACATAAAAACATTTTCGAAAATAACTTCGAATTTCGAACTTAATTTCGAATATTCGAACATATTATTGTATTGTCATCAGATGTACTTGACTGCAAAATTTCAGCCATTGGGCTACGGGAACTGGTTTAAAAGCTTTCAAACCTCGAATCTTCGAAAATTTTCCTTAATATATTTCTCGACAATTATAATACTAATTAAATCGTTTTTGAAAATTCATTATCAATTCATTACCATTATCAAAAAAAGTTATAATGAAAAAAATATAATTTTCATTAAATGGTACTTAAATATTTTCATTACAATTTTTTCTATAATGGTAATGAAATTTTAATGCTTAATGAAAAATTCCCATGTATGAAAAAAGTGTATAGTCTTTAAAAGGTTGCAAATGTAAAATAAAAATTTGTAAAGTGAAAATCTAAAACGATAAAGATTCACAAAAACAATTACAAAATGGGTCCTAGTCAATGTTCTAGTATAGTTCTAGTTTAGTTCTAGTTCCACTTCAAGTTCACTTCTAGTTCAGCTGTAGTTCAGTCCTAGTTCAGTTGTAGTTCAGTTGTAGTTCAGATGTAGTTCAGTTGTAGTTCAGTGTAGTTCAGTTGTAGTTCAGTTTGTAGTTCAGTTGTAGTTCAGTTGTAGTTCAGTTGTAGTTCTGTTGTAGATCAGTTGTAGTTCAGTTCTAGTCAGTTCTAGTTCAGTTCTAGTTCAGTTCTAGTTCAGTTCTAGTTCAGTTCTAGTTCAATTCTAGTTCAGTTCTAGTTCAGTTCTAGTTCAGTTCTAGTTCAGTTCTAGTTCAGTTCTAGTTCAGTTCTAGTCAGTTCTAGTTCAGTTCTAGTTCAGTTCTAGTTCAGTTCTAGTTCAGTTCTAGTTCAGTTCTAGTTCAGTTCTAGTTCAGTTCTAGTTCAGTTCTAGTTCAGTTCTACTTCAGTTCTAGTTCAGTCCTAGTTCAGTTCTAGTTCAGTTCTAGTTCAGTTCTAGTTCAGTTCTAGTTCAGTTCTAGTTCAGTTCTAGTTCATTCTAGTTCAGTTCTAGTTCAGTTCTAGTTCAGTTCTAGTTCAGTTCTAGTTCAGTTGTAGTTCAGTTGTAGTTCAGTTCTAGTTCAGTTCTAGTTCAGTTCTAGTTCAGTTCTAGTTCAGTTCTAGTTCAGTTCTAGTTCAGTTCTAGTTCACTTCAAGTTCATTTCTAGTTCAGTTCTTGTTGAGTTCTAGTCAGTTTTATGTAGTTCAGTTCAGTTCAGTTCAGTTCTAGTTTAGTTCTAGTTCAGTTCTAGTTCAGTTCTAGTTCAGTTCTAGTTCAGTTCTAGTTCAGTCTAGTTCAGTTTCTAGTTCAGTTCTAGTTCAGTTCTAGTTCAGTTCTAGTTTTCTAGTCAGTTCTAGTTCAGTTCTAGTTTCAGTTCTAGTTCAGTTCTAGTGCAGTTCTAGTTCAGTTTTAGTTCACTTCTAGTTCGGTTCTTGTTGAGTTCTAGTTTCAGTTTTATGTAGTTCAGATTGTTGAGTTCTACTTCAGTTCAAGTTCAGTTCTAGTTCAGTCAGTTCAGTTCTAGTTCAGTTCTAGTTCAGTTCTAGTTCAGTTCTAGTTCAGTTCTAGTTCAGTTCTAGTTCAGTTCTAGTTCAGTTCTAGTTCAGTTCTAGTTCAGTTCTAGTTCAGTTCTAGTTCAGTTCTAGTCAGTTCTAGTTCAGTTCTAGTTCAGTTCTAGTTCAGTTCTAGTTCAGTTCTAGTTCAGTTCTAGTTCAGTTCTAGTTCAGTTCTAGTTCAGTTCTAGTTCAGTTCTAGTTCAGTTCTAGTTCAGTTCTAGTTCGTTCTAGTTCAGTTCTAGTTCAGTTCTAGTTCAGTTCTAGTTCAGTTCTAGTTCAGTTCTAGTTCAGTTCTAGTTCAGTTCTAGTTCAGTTCTAGTTCAGTTCTAGTTCAGTTCTAGTTCAGTTCTAGTTCAGTTCTAGTTCAGTTCTAGTTCAGTTCTAGTTCAGTTCTAGTTCAGTTTAGTTCAGTTCTAGTTCAGTTCTAGTTCAGTTCTAGTTCAGTTCTAGTTCAGTTTCTAGTTCAGTTCTAGTTCAGTTCTAGTTCAGTTCTAGTTCAGTTCTAGTTCAGTTCTAGTTCAGTTCTAGTTCGTTCTAGTTCAGTTCTAGTTCAGTTCTAGTTCAGTTCTAGTTCAGTTCTAGTTCAGTTCTAGTTCAGTTCTAGTCAGTTCTAGTTCAGTTCTAGTTCAGTTCTAGTCAGTTCAGTTCAGTTCTAGTTCAGTTCTAGTTCGTTCTAGTTCAGTTCTAGTTCAGTTCTAGTTCAGTTCTAGTTCAGTTCTAGTTCAGTTCTAGTTCAGTTCTAGTTCAGTGTAGTTCAGTTCAGTTGAGTTCTAGTTCAGTTCTAGTTCAGTTGTAGTTCAGTTCAGTTCAGTTCTAGTTCAGTTCTAGTTCAGTTCTAGTTCAGTTCTAGTTCAGTTCTAGTTCAGTTTAGTTCAGTTCTAGTTCAGTTCAAGTTCATTTCTAGTTCAGTTCTTGTGAGTTCTAGTTCAGTTTATGTAGTTCAGTTCTAGTTCAGTTCAGTTCAGTTCTAGTTAGTTCTAGTTCAGTTCTAGTTCAGTTCTAGTTCAGTTCTAGTTCAGTTCTAGTTCAGTTCTAGTTCAGTTCTAGTGCAGTTCTAGTTCAGTTTTAGTTCACTTCAAGTTCATTCTAGTTCGGTTCTGTTGAGTTCTAGTTCAGTTTCTAGTGTTCAGATCTGTGAGTTCTACTTCAGTTCTAGTTCGTAGTTCAGTTTAGTTCAGTTCTAGTTCAGTTCTAGTTCAGTTCTAGTTCAGTTCTAGTTCAGTTCTAGTTCAGTTCTAGTTCAGTTCTAGTCAGTTCTAGTTCAGTTCTAGTTCAGTTCTAGTTCAGTTCTAGTTCAGTTTAGTTCAGTTCTAGTTCAGTTCTAGTTCAGTTTCTAGTTCAGTTCTAGTTCAGTTCTAGTTCAGTTCTAGTTCAGTTCAAGTTCAGTTCTAGTTCAGTTCTAGTTCAGTTCTAGTTCAGTTCTAGTTCAGTTCTAGTTCAGTTCTAGTTCAGTTCTAGTTCAGTTCTAGTTCAGTTCTAGTTCAGTTCTAGTTCAGTTCTAGTTCAGTTCTAGTTCAGTTCTAGTTCAGTTCTAGTTCAGTTCTAGTTCAGTTCTAGTTCAGTTCTAGTTCAGTTATAGTTCAGTTCTAGTTCAGTTCTAGTTCAGTGTAGTTCAGTTCTAGTTCAGTTCTAGTTCAGTTCTAGTTCAGTTCTAGTTCAGTTCTAGTTCAGTTCTAGTTCAGTTCTAGTTCAGTTCTAGTTCAGTTCTAGTTCAGTTCTAGTTCAGTTCTAGTTCAGTTCTAGTAGTTCAGTTCTAGTTCAGTTCTAGTTCAGTTCTAGTTCAGTTCTAGTTCAGTTCTAGTTCAGTTCTAGTTCAGTTCTAGTTCAGTTCTAGTTCAGTTCTAGTTCAGTTCTAGTTCAGTTCTAGTTCAGTTCTAGTTCAGTTCTAGTTCAGTTCTAGTTCAGTTCTAGTTCAGTTCTAGTTCAGTTCTAGTTCAGTTCTAGTTCAGTTCTAGTTCAGTTCTAGTTCAGTTTAGTTCAGTTCTAGTTCAGTTCTAGTTCAGTTCTAGTTCAGTTCTAGTTCAGTTCTAGTTCAGTTCTAGTTCAGTTCTAGTTCAGTTCTAGTTTAGTTCTAGTTCATAGTTCAGTTCTAGTTCAGTTCTAGTTCAGTTCTAGTTCAGTTCTAGTTCAGTTCTAGTTCAGTTCTAGTTCAGTTCTAGTTCAGTTCTAGTTCAGTTCTAGTTCAGTTCTAGTTCAGTTCTAGTTCAGTTCTAGTTCAGTTCTAGTTCAGTTCTAGTTCAGTTCTAGTTCAGTTCTAGTTCAGTTCTAGTTCAGTTCTAGTTCAGTTCTAGTTCAGTTCTAGTTCAGTTCTAGTTCAGTTCTAGTTCAGTTCTAGTTCAGTTCTAGTTCAGTTCTAGTTCAGTTCTAGTTCAGTTCTAGTTCAGTTCTAGTTCAGTTCTAGTTCAGTTCTAGTTCAGTTCTAGTTCAGTTCTAGTTCAGTTCTAGTTCAGTTCTAGTTCAGTTCTAGTTCAGTTCTAGTTCAGTTCTAGTTCAGTTCTAGTTCAGTTCTAGTTCAGTTCTAGTTCAGTTCTAGTTCAGTTCTAGTTCAGTTCTAGTTCACTAGTTCAGTTCTAGTTCAGTTCTAGTTCAGTTCTAGTTCAGTTCTAGTTCTTCAGTTCTAGTTCAGTTCTAGTTCAGTTCTAGTTCAGTTCTAGTTCAGTTCTAGTTCAGTTCTAGTTCAGTTCTAGTTCAGTTCTAGTTCAGTTCTAGTTCAGTTCTAGTTCAGTTCTAGTTCAGTTCTAGTTCAGTTCTAGTTCAGTTCTAGTTCAGTTCTAGTTCAGTTCTAGTTCAGTTCTAGTTAGTTCAGTTCTAGTTCAGTTCTAGTTCAGTTCTAGTTCAGTTCTAGTTCTAGTTCAGTTCTAGTTCAGTTCTAGTTCAGTTCTAGTTCAGTTCTAGTTCAGTTCTAGTTCAGTTCTAGTTCAGTTCTAGTTCAGTTCTAGTTCAGTTCTAGTTCAGTTCTAGTTCAGTTCTAGTTCAGTTCTAGTTCAGTTCAGTTAGTTCAGTTCTAG